TTAGACCAACCTTTGTTTGCATAATATATAAGACCAGGAATGTGTATTTAGAAAGTAAATGGGGCCATTTTTCATTAAATGAAATCTGATGCTTAGTCCTGCACTAACGAGAAAAAGAAATTGATAAGGAAGCATTTACACAGCTGAACACCCTATAGGCTCCACAGCAGAAATGCACTCTAAAACCTATTCCATCATCCTCAGCAGAGACTTTCAGTGTGTTAAAATGGATTTTTATAAAACTTAAAACTCCAAAAAAGTATAAACAAACAAGTACTTACTGGTTGGCACTGGCTTGACATTAACTCTGTACATGGTTTGAAGAACCGGACATGCAAGTCCCTAACAGAGATCAGGACTCAAAAGATGGGCAAATGACATGTGTTATATATCCGTCCACTCAATGTGGTCGCACACATTTAAATAAATTTGAAAGGCAGGGACAGATTTGCTTCCATTTCAACAGCCATTAATGTGGACCCATCTGTTCAGAGCACTACTATTATACTGTACTCTATCCTGACTGTGTCCCCTCGTACTGCAAAAGCAACATGCACGCCATCTGGGTCCAACATGGTGCTTCGCTTCGAGTCACTGATTACAGCCTGACCCGCTAGCCTTGCACCTGAGGGCCTTCAGGCCTTAGCCAAACATGTACGATCACACACAGAGATAAAACGAGGTAAACTGTAGCTCAAATGTACATAAAATCATTACATGCCCTTCCTGGCTCCAGTAAGCAGGGAGATGATTGTTGTGGTTAGTTCCCATGATCCTCAGCTTTTTTAGCTATAAATAGTACCCATGCTGTTCTCAAATCGTGTTCTGTAGCTCTGTTTAATGACCCTACTCTTCTATGATGGCAAACAGTGCCTTTCTTTCAGACCCTGCCCATAGCCATCAACTCCTGAGTGGCAGTTCCTTCTCCAAACAAATCTCAAATAGGCATCTGATTGCGAGCTTGGTTTTCCAATTTGCAGTGGCTTGTGAATTTCCTTACAGTAGTGCGGAAAGGCTGGGTATGGTTTGGGCCCTCGCTGCACAGATGTGGCCCTGCTGATGCAAGCCAAGGCACGGCAAGATGTCTGTCTCTTCGCAGTTTCCTCTTGATATAAATTAGGCAACCTCGTGATTTTCAGTTGTCTGGCTTGAATGAGAGCTACATGTGCCTGTGTGCTACTGCAGTGCCCATGGCTGTCAGTACAAATCAATGCTGCCTCGTGGAGCTCAGCCTCAATCAGCTTCCCTGCAGCCAATATGAAACTCTACTGGTCCTCACATTTCAGTGGTTGGGTGAATATCATGAAATCTATTATGAACAGGCTGGATCACATTGCATTACAAAATCAAAAGAAAGAAATTGCTGCTGTAATGTAAGATGTTTTGCATTGTAACACTTTCCTGACAATTAAGCACATTTTCTTTTCCAATTCTAATTATAGTAATGCCTTAAAATATTCATTACTGTAACATAAAAACTAGTATTTATGTAAAATAATTATTTATTTAAAATATTTGTCATTTCAGTGTAGTTTACATTTAAACTATACATTTTGTGAAATTCAACCAGTTAAAATTCTGAATTTTTATTTAAAAAGATTCTGATACATTCATGGGGTGATTTATGAACATTCTAGAGAGGAAAAAATACACACAGCATTAAATTCTCCTTGATGTGTCTCCAGGTAGAGCAAATTTATGGAGGCAAATTATGCATGTGTGCAGGCCTTCGGGTAGGTCGAATTAGAATAATGTCAGTTTAAAGGCTAGTCCCATAAAACACAAGTAATTACATGATGGCTTAGGTCTTTTTTCTTGCTAACCTTGCAACAAGCGCAAAAAAACAACAACATCTTGTAACTATGGTCGAGGTTCATGCCTGGCAGGAATCCTGACAGACAAGGCAAACGTCCCCCAATTCTGACTCCCAGGATTACGCAACGCCCCTAAACAGTAGACATACATACAAGAAGTGGCATTATATAACCGATTCTGCACATTAAAACAGCTTGTGAGGCAGCCATGCGGAAAACACAGGGTTTTAATGGGTATAAGCAGTAAAAGTAAATCTGAAACGGTGAGAGATGGGGACAGAGAGAGAAAAAAGGAAAAGTGAGGGGTGGTATGGACAACTCCCCATTAAACCAACGGTTTGTCTGCCTGTATCTGAAACCAAAGGATGACATAATAGACATGCCCTCTCACATTTCGATGTGACTGGCATCTAAGAAAGAAAGCATTCCTAACTTCTATTCAAGAGTGAGCACAGGCCTTGAAGGGAGAGCAGTGAAAAAGAGAAAAGATGAAGGAAAGTGAAAGAAGCAGATTCTTTGTTTTGTCAGATTCTCTCTCGTCAGTGAGATTTGATACAATGCAAGTGAGCTCTGTCTGCCATTAATAGGGACAGGTTTTCGATCACATACATTTTTTACATTTGTTGACTTACAATGCTGCCTTTGTTTTTTAGGCATAAATGAATTGCTTCCAAAGGTTGTGTTCAAATGTGAAAGTGGACACAATGCCGATAATATTTTTCAGAGTATAGACTCTCAAATTTGGATAGCCCACCCATTTTGAATTGAAGTATGAAAAATTGTAAAGTACTGATTCAATGCGTCACCTTTGAATGTGAGAAATGAAGCTTTTACGCTTGCTCTTGTGTAAGAAAACCAAACGAATAAAAGGTTCAACCGAAAGTTTGAAAAGTTTCCTCTCAATACAGTGGCTTACCACTTGAAACAGGAAAGGAATTTACAGGAACACATGCACTAACTCCCACAAACTCAGTTTGGAAATACCATCTGGAACAGCTGGGTTTGCAACCAAACCAGTTTGTTTTTTTATTTAATATGTTACATTTAATATTGAATATAAACCAGGAATGCAAATTAATATTAATAGATAAATAAAAAATAACAATGAAATAATAAACAATAATATAAATATTATTCATGATTATTTCGATTATTATTTAATAAAGCCTTATTGCTGGTTTCTGCTCATTCATGTCTAGACTGTGGATCTGGATGCAGCATTCACCGTCAACCTCAAATATTCCACTTGGTGACATTTCCATATTCAGAGGAAACACACTTTGAGGACCAAAAGAGGAGAACCGCACCCCTGCTCTTCCACAGCTGCATGGAATGCGTCTTGGCTTCAACGTGAGTCTAATAAAAGCACAGTCACCCACATCCATCTCGACCAACTCCCTCATGACATAAACCAAGGTCTTGGGTGAAACCCTGAATTGTCCTTTCTTCTGCCCTATGGCATCATGGACCATAAGACTGTCTGTGACGTCAGAAACGTCAGAGACGTTCCTCTCTTGCGCCCAATAAAATCAAAATGCAGCAAGCATTTTGTCTGTCTCCATCAAAACCAGCCATCATGTCTTATTTAGACTTCAAAACCTGTATGTTTTAAAGCAAAATTGCTATTTTTGATGTTATATGAGTGATTTTGCACATTATTAAGCCTGTGAACTAAATGGAAAAATTGATACATTTTGTCGTCCTATGTGAAATCTGGATCCTGAAGCATAACCAGCTGAAAAACAGCCAAGCTAGAGAACTTTCTGCCCACCTACTAGACACATAGCCATGAAAAGAGCTGCACTTGCTTTTATATAACAGCACCTCGCTCACTACATCAATTTAAAACCACCCGACAGCTTTATTGGTCGTATGTTAAGGCTGTTCGGTTGACACACAGATTAATACAACATAAATAAGAGCTGAATAATCATCTCAGTTTCCACCACAAAGGCTCTGATGCACTGATGAATAACCTTATAAATATGAGAGCAGGGATGATAAGGTGAAGTGGCAGAGAGGCTATTCAACTGTTTAATGGATTGAGAGGTATATATCGAGCAGATATCAATGCTGTTGGCCTGAAAATGGATATAAATGAAAATAAGAGGTCCTTCATTCGCTATGATCTTTCAGCTCCCAAAACATCCACACCAAGAGCCACATGCTGTATTATTTAAGAAAACATCTATGCCTATAAAAGCAAAGTAAAGCAACTTTCAAGCTTTCATTTTAGTGTTAATAAAAATAGCCACTCATCTGGTCAAAAAAGAAAAATAGCCCCTCATCTGGTCATGTTAAAAAAAGAAGATAAAAGTGATTGTAAGATGTAGACAGGACTTAGATACAACTGTTCATTATTAATGTTACAGAAGTGGGCAATAAAATTGTCTGAATATAAACTGGCTGTCATTGCACTCAGCAGTCTGAAAGTAAAAAGCTGGCATTCAAAGTTTATCTTTGCATATTTATTTCTATCTCTGGTACTTTCCAGTACAAAATAGGGTAAAAAAGGCTTTCCCCCCTCTTTCTTAAATGGTCAGGGATTACATTTTATATGCATCATCATATGTCTAAAAACAGTTTAAAACCATGATTTGTGAGATTTTGTCACATTTTACACAAAACATTCACATCAAACATAGATGTCAAAATTAAATCTACAGAACTTATAAATTAAAGAATTTATAAATAAATATAATGGATACATAATATATTTTAAGTAGTTTAATATATAAAACAGCATCTATAATATTAATAAATAAAAACAAATAAAATATAAGATGATAATTAAATATAGCTTTGGAACAATGAACTGATATAAATAAAATCGCAAAGAAAAACATGGAGTTTGTCCCTCTAAGCACTGCAAAAGTCCCGTATTCATGGAATGCACCGCATCTTTTCGTTAGCAAGTTATAGAAATAATTTTGGGGAGTTTTGAAAGAGGTGAGTGCACTAGAAAGTATAAGTGAATTCCTGAAAGCGGTGAAGTGAGTGATTATCCGCAGACACATTTATTTTACAATCTATCGCAAATGTTTAAATCCGTTTTATCAACACCTGTGTAAACAAACCATCGCTTTCCACGATTATACATCGTGGAAGTCAGCATATCAAAATATAACGGTGAATGTATTTTTAATAGAGGTTCAGAATTAAACCGAAAAGTAAACACAAACTTACCAAAATAAACAGTCTTTTCGCATTTAGGGCACTTTGAAGCCATCGTCTCTTGAAGTGGATCCTCTCACTCACCGTCAGGTTTGTCTTCCACGCGCGCAAGTCGACCAATGGCTTGAGAGCGGGAGCGCATCCACTGAAAGCGCCGCGCTTGATTTGCATAACCCCGCCCTCTCTCACAGATCTGTTTGAGCGCTGCGCTTTTCGCTTCTCTCATTGGTCAGGCTAACGGTCAGTCATCAAGCGGGCGTGGGCTCCTGTCTGTCACTGGCTCTTCCTTTTTACATCCTTCTTCAGCGGGAATGTGAAAGGCTTCCAACAAAGGTTCCTTTCACTTCTCATGAATAGGGATTCTTCAGCACTTGCCAGACCGTTACTAGTGGAAATCAGAGGGAGAAAGATATTGGCAAGTCCCAGTCATGCTCACAACACTTCTCTTTTTGTTTGGGGTTGAGGTCATTGTATGGCAGCGTTACGTTTTTGACTAGTTTGTCCCTTACATCACTGTTCCACACACCCAAAAATGTCTGTCACCCATGTCTTTTTTTAGACTCAGGTCTTTGCCGGCTCTTACAGGCTTTTGCCTTGACCATGTGTCCACGTCATTTCTCTCTCAAACTGATCAGTCAGCAGAGCAGATGTCCCCCTTTTCCTGACTCTACACTCCTTTGACAGTTACACGCAACCAAGTCCTGTTGTCTCCCATAAATCTCCAAATTGCTTAGTCGACTAGTCAAACAGAACCCTGACTAGTACTGTTGTAAAAAAGTGCCTCTTGATACCTATGTGAATATTGACTCGCACTCTACCTATAGCTGATTTCAGTGAGAGGAATCTTGAAATTCTTGAAAGAATCTTGCAGCGTCCAGTTTATTCAAGTTCATTTGTGTGTCGGTGTTACAGCGTCAGTAAGTTTGCTGTATTAGCACATTTGCACAGCTGCAGTGCAGGGATTTGCTGTGTTGGCTTGGCGGGACGAAACCTTAATGCTTGTTGTGGAGTAATGTTTTTAAATGACTAAAAGGTGGAAAATTACAACAATTATAACATTTTAAAACTCTAATGCAGTGGGACTCGTATACTCGTATAAAATGTTAATTTTTGATATTTTTGGAGCAATTTTGCTCAAAACCTCTCAATGAATCCTTTCCAGGCAATGACTGCCTTAAGTCTGGAACTCATGGACATCACCAGAGACTGGGTTTCCTCCTTTGTGATGCTTTGCCAGGCCTTTCGTTTTTGCTGTATGTTTTGGGCCATTGTCCACTTGTACTATGAAGCGCCATACAATCAACTTTGCTCCATTTGACTGAATCTGGGAAGAGAGTACATCCCTATACACTTCAGAATTCATCCGGCTGCTTCTGTCTTCTGTCACGTCTTCACTAAACACCAGTAACCCAGTGCCACTGGAAGCCATGCATGCTCATGCCATCACACTGCTCCACCATGTTTCACAGATGATGTTGTATGTTTTGGATCATGAGCTGTTCTTCCCGTCATTCTGGTACAGGTTGATCTTAGTTTCAGCCATCCAAAGAATGCTTTCCCAGAAGTGGTCTGGCTTTTTTAGATGGTTTTTGGCAAAGTCTAATCTGGCCTTGTTTGCACCTTGTGGTGAACCCTCTGTATTTGCTCTGGTGAAGTCTTCTCTTGATTGTAGACTTTGCCAGAGACACATCTACTGTACCTCCTGGAGAGTGGTATTCTCTTGGCTGGATGTTGTGAAAGGGTTTTTCTTTACCATGAAGAGGATCCTCCGATCATCCACCACTGTTGTCCTCCGTGGACGTCCATGCCTTTTATGTTGCGGAGCTCACCAGTGCATTCTTTTTTCTCAGAATGTACCAAACTGTTGATTTGGCCACTCTGAATGTTCCTGCTATCTCTCTGATGGATTTGTTTTGACCGCATGATGTGGGTTCACAGCAACAGCTTCCAAATGTAAATGGCACACTTGGAATCAACTCCAGAACTTTGACCTGCTTAATTGATGTAGAAATAATGAAGGAATAGTCCACGCCTGTCCATGAAAGAGCTTTTGAGTCAATTGTCCAATTACTTGAAAAAGGGGGGAGGTACATATTAAAGAGCTTGTATTCCTTAACCTTTCGTCCAATTTTGATGTGAATACCCTCAAATTAAAGATCAGAGTGTGCACTTTAAGCCCATATTCATTATATAACTGTAACTTGAATATGTTTTGGTCAGCAGCTAAAATATTAAAAATGTTGCCTGTGTCTAAATATGGACCTGACTGTATAAGTGAGAATGGGGTTAGTTGTCAAAGCATTTGTCACATATTTATTTATGTATTTTAAATGTAAGAATTTCATTACTAGTTGGCCAGATAATGGTTTAATATTTTTGTTTGTTTTACATTTTTGTTGTCATAATTTTTATTTGTTTCATAATTTTTACTTACATTTTTGCTGATAAAATAAAAGCTATTGTATTATGGCAGGTTTCCATTGTGACAACTTACCCCATATTGTGTGACAACATGCCCTGCCATGTAATCAGTAAACAATATCCCCCCCCCCCTGGACAATAACAGTGAAAATATTTGGTACTTTTGTAGGCAAAGTTTATGTGCAGAAATTGCCTTTTAAAAACTAACCTGAGAATTATTCCCTAAAGTAAATAGTGTGACAACTAGCCCCGGCCTCCTCCTACACTATGTTTGGAATTTCTATTTCAAATGAATGCAAATAAATTTTCATTAAAATAAATGTTAAACATTCTATTTTGTCAAATAAGCCTGAAATAAATGTCACGTTTCCACAAAAATAATAAGCAGCACAACTGTTTTCAACACTGATAGTAATCAGAAATGTTTCTTCATGCGCCGTTGCGCTTCGGGTGTTCCGAGTTCGAGTCCCGGCTCGTGGACCTTTCCCGATCCCGTACCCCCTCTCTCTCCCACTTCTCATCCTGTATAAAATTTCTCTCCTGTCCTAATGAAGGCAAAAACAAACAAACAAACACACACAAAAAAAAAGCGCGTATTGGATCATGTGACACTGAAAAATGGAGTAATAGCTGCTGAAAATTCAGCTTTGCAATCAGAGAAATTAAAATTTTTAAATATATTAGAATATATATATAAAAAAAGTTATTTTAAATTGTATTAATACTTTACAACTGTGCTGTTTTTACTGTATTTTTGATCACACAGTTGCAGCCTTGGTGAAAAATATTTAAAAATATTATTGACCCCAAACTCTTGAAAGTGTGTATACATTTTCAGATTACTTTCACCTCAAGCCTGTGCAAATCCATTGGGACAAGTGGTGAACAGGTGCCTAAGGCCCTTTGCCTTCCATAAATACCCATTCTTCCATTCACACCCGTTTCCCGTGGGATGGATTCAGAGGCACGTTTCCCCAAAGCAAGTGTGTAGCCTTCAGTGCATACTCCACCCAAACACCCACACCACCCTTCAAACACACCCAAAACCAGCCTGACTCTTCACACACTGTGAAGTGTGTGCTGTCGTGATTCATGTGGGAACATCTGCATTATTAAATGCTTGTTAAAAATAATACCAGCAGATTTTCAAGACATAATCTAGGTGTGGTGAAGTATTTAAACTCTTAATTAGGAGATTAGTATGTTTTCCTTTCAAATTAATACAATTAAACTAGATTTATTATACTACATGATACTACAGTTGTTAATAGTTGCTATGCGGTTGCTGTTAACTAAAACATTTGATTTTTAATCAAAATAAACCTGAATTAAAATAAAATATAAATATTACATGAAAAACATATAAACAAAATATTTTGAAATGTTATCATGGCAACTACCTGAAATAAGTTTAAGTTGATACTACATTTCAGTACTAACTGAAATAGAAATTGTAAATTAAAATATTTTCCAAAACTAATAACAATGACAAAAGTACATTACAAAATCATAACAACAGAGAAATTCAAACTATCCTAAATATGAATATATTAAAATATTAAAAATAAATGTTACATTTCCACAAAAATAATAAGCAGCACAACTATTTTCAACATTGATAATATTCAGAAATGTTTCTTGAGCACCAAATCAGCATATTATGATTTCTGAAGAATCATGTGACACTGAAAAATTGAGTAATGGCAGCTAAAAATTTATTTAGCCACTTTGCCATCACAGCAATTTAAATTTTAAAGCATTAGAATATATAAAAAAGATATTTTAAATTGTATTTATACTTTACAATATCACTGTTTTTTGATCACATAATTGCAGCATTGAAGAAAAATATTTATAAATATTTTTAAATGTTATCTTGGCAACTAATTGAAATAAGTTTAATTTGATAATAAGTTTCAGTACTAACTGAAATAGAAATAAATTAAACCATTGTCCAAAACTAATAAAAATGACAAAAGTACATTACAAAATCACAAAAAATAAAATGAAAACTGAAATAAATTAAAAATTAAAACTATTCTAAATATTAACAAAAACTATAAATAATACTAAACACATTCTCAGTGTTTTAGGGTGTTACTTTGCAGTTACTAAGGTATTCTGGCAAGAGCCCACCAAGTATTCTTGATCCTATAACCTGCTGAAAATCCCAATTAAACCTACAAAAGCTGTTTTCTGGTCTTACGTGGTTTAAGCTGGTCTCCTCTTACACTAAAAAAAGTGCCCCAACTCCCCTAAAACCAGCCAGCAGATTGGCCAAAAACCAATCTGTTAGTCTTAGGCCAACCTAAGCTGGTTTAAGATCATTTTGTTCAGCAGGGTGTAAGTCTTTGCTTCTTAATTTGGTGCCACACAAATACCACTAATAAAAGAATTATATTTGAAACAGCAGAAATTAAATATATTCTGAGGGTAATGCCAGGAATCCAGTCGCATAAGTGTACCCAGTCGTGTAGCTATTATTGCATATGCAAATATGAATGAGGATCCAGATGTACTGAAGCAGAACTTGTCTATTATTGTATTAAAGTGGTTCTGGATATTATTAACTGCAAGAGACTGAAGGAGAGCGGTTGGTATCAGACCTCTTAAAGGGGTCATATGATGCTTTTTTAAAGATCATTATTTTGTGTATTTGGTGTAACAGAATATGTTGAC